TGTGATGCTTTACTAAGAATAATGTGTTCCACTTCCATCCAGGTTAGTACAAAGGCTGTAAAGTCTCCGTCTTTTTTAGTGGCTGAATAGTAGTCCATACATATACCATTGTTTTCATTTCTAAGGTAAAGTTCAAGTTGTAGGTGAGTCCTTCACTCATGGGCATGTTGCGCTCCCTCACATTCTGCACATTAAGTGAGAACCCACCAATCACACTCTCTTCTCTCCTTTTCGCCTCACCTCCCCCTTCCCCTCATTAGAATATTCTGGAGTTTTTCTTTCCTGTGGGTATGCAGTTGTTTATGTTTTTGTTTATATTAGTACTGAGTACATTGGATACTTGTTTTTCCATTCTTGTGATACTTTACTAAGAAGAGTGTGTTTCAACTTCAGGTAAGCAGAAAAAGTGTAAAGTCTCCGTATTTTCTTCCAGCTAAATGCACACACTGATGGGCACCTGAGTTGCTTTCATGCCTCGGCAATTGTGAACTGAGCTGCACTCGCCATTCTAGTGCAAATGTCCTGTGGTAAAATTATTTTTTTTTCCTCTGGGTAGATAACCTAGTAAGGACATTGCAGGATCAAATGGAAGTTCCACTTTTAATTCTTTGAGGATTCTCCATCCTTCTTTCCATAGAGGTTGTGTTAGCTTGCAATCCCACCAGCAGTGCAAATGTGTTCCCTTCTCTCCACATCTGCACCAGCATCTGCAGTTGAGTGGTTTTGTGATGTGGGCCATTCTCCCTGGGTTTACCAGCCTGCACCTCATTTCTAGGTCAGCTTTATCTGGGTGCATATCCCATACCTGCCCTTCTTAGCCCCATGACTGGGACAGATGACACCTCTTTGAGATTCAATTTCTTCCTTTGTCAGATGAGCATAACAAGATCTATTCTTATGTGGTCACTACAGGGATTAAATCCAATGGCAGCTATAGTAAAAGCAACTACAGCAAAACTCTGTATGGCCTGCTTTCCCAGGCCCTGCCATTCCTCTCAGCTTTATCTCCTCATTAACTCATCCAAGCCCTGCAATAACTTTCTGAGATATGACCTATTAGGGAAGAGGAAAGGGAAGTATGCTCTGGGGACCGTCCTGGGGTCACACAGCTGGTGAGAGGAGACACCAGAGTGAAGCCCAAGCCACCTCCTCTAGAGTCTGAGCTGAGCCCATGGGCTATCCAATTGGTAATGTTTAATGAGTGATTACTACCCACCCTAGCATAGTGAGAACAATCCCTTTTAGTATATATGTGGTGACATGGTGTCTAGCACAAAATAGGTCCTCAATAAATAGCACACACAGGTATACATTGTGCATGCATGTGTGTGGTGCACACATATTATACATACATTAATTTAAAATCATAAATATTTGATGCATGTATCTATGTATTCATGTAAATATATCTCATGTGGGTGTGAAAGAGACAGAATTGACTTGGCTAAAAAAGAAAGGAAGAAAGGAACCAGGTCTGGAAGGCAGAAACTGGGAAGTTCTACCATGAGACATCAACCTTTTACTTAGCTGGAAAGCTCATCCTGGCTGTGTTGGGCAGACACCGCAGTGAGGTCACAAAATCTGAGAAAGGGGACCCCCTGGCCCTGCACACATACAGGGCCTCTAATAGTCCCTCAGAGGTCTAGGGCTCCTGCAAAGGCCCAGTGCTTCCTTCCAGCGAGCTGGACAGAACCGATCAGCTGGGCCCCCCTACCTGCCAGTGGTGAGCATCTCACTCTCCTGTGACATTATCTGTCTGTTTCTGTATGTGGCTGTGCAGGTGGGAAGGAAAATCAAAGATGTGCTCAGGGGACGGAGGGTCTTATCTTTGCTCCCAGCCTCTCCTAGTCAAATACTCCATGCCCAGTGTCCCATTATTAGCACGGTAGGGGAAGATGAGAGCCACAGCCACATGCGGGGGCATTGGTGACCACAGAGACATTAACTAAATGGGTGTCCACCTGAACTTCCCTGTCCTCACCAGCCATCTCATCCTCTGCAGAAAAACAGGTGTACCTATGCCATTTCTAACAGCCAGGGAGGGGGACCAATGTGATGGCCTTTGGAGGCTGAGAGGCAGAAGAGAATGGAAAGAATTGAGATCAAATTTAACTCCTGGATTAGCTAATGGTGGGCACCCTGGGTGCACACTCACTTATTAAAACACAGCCCTGAAAACTATTCTTTCGATTAAACCTGCTGTCAGCTTATCATCTCCCCAGCTGGCCCTGCTGAAAGTTAAATTTCCAACAAAGGCACTTACAGCCTGCCCTGGTGGGTGCAGCAGCCCCACTTCTCTCAATTCCCCGTTCATTCCAAACCCCATTCCCTGAAAACCCAAGCCCTTTATACTTCCCTGCCTATACTACATGTGGATCCTTCTCTCCAATGTTCCCTCTCCCTCCACCTCCTAGGGTGAGCTGCTTTTGATGCTTTAAGGCCAGATTAAATTGTTATGTTATCTGGGAGGTTTCCCTGTCTTCCCAGTGAGGGTAGCAAGATCCATTCTCTAGGCATCCAGGTTACCGCCTGCATCCCTGGGGGACCTAAGCCCTTGTCACATCATTTATCACCTCCTGGAATCACTCAGTGATTGGATCACTCAGTGACTGGATCTCCCAGTCCAAACTGGCCATCTATCATGTGATGATCCTCTGACATTTGCTGCTGAAAGAAAGACACAACCATAGCCTTCCAGGGGTATACAAGTCATTACAAAGACTAGGTGGGTTCTGGACTCGGAGAATATAAAAACCAGGCTCTGCTATGTCCCAGAAGGGTAACCCTGAGAAAATCCTTTCACCTCTCTGAGCTTCAGTTTCTTCATGTATAAAAGGGGAGTGACGGCAGCCTCTCCCTCGGGGGGCTGCTAGGAAGAATGAACAAGGTGCTGCGTGAAGAGCTGCTGGCACACAGTAAGGGCTCTGGCCCTCGGCTGTCACCAGCAGGCAGGCATGTCCCCAGGGGTCACAGGCAAGGTGTTTTTCTACTCCTGGTGGCTTCTTACCTGTCCTGTGCAGACGTAGAGCTTCCAGAATTTGGGACCCTGCGAGCTGCACCCTCAGAGCTGGGATGTCGGGGGCCAGAAGCCCAGCTGTCCCTGGCTTGTCTCCACCAGGCTCCAGCGGCACTGAAGACCCCTGCCCGTCTCTGCTTTCCACCACAGGGTTAGGCACCAGGCAGTGGATAAAGTGTAGACATGACCGTCGGATCATGCTGGTCAGGGCATCCTAGGACCAAGTAGAGAGGTCGGGACCAGCTCTCTCAAGGAGAGATGGACATGGGTCTGGACATTCCCCAAACATAAATTCAGACTGGCCTGGGCATCTTTGGGTGTCCTTGTGTCCTACACCAAGGACCTCCCACCTATTACTTGATTTGTATTCATTAGAAGTAAGGGCCTTTGTTGAAACAGATGCAGAAACTGAGGCCTACAGACGGCAAGGTCACACAGACAACATCCTGGGACTAGACCCCCTGACTTAGTCTAAGGGCTTCCAGCATGATACGCTATGTGTTTCAAAATGCATCCTTCCCACACCCCAGCCCATTCTCAGTGGGGCTCAGCCTGACCACTGAGCAATCACACGTCCTCAGCTGTTAATAGATTCAGGCCCCTGACATAGTTATATCCAGAGCTGGGTCCTGCTTGCACCCTCCCCCCAGGGAGAGCCTAGTGGTGGGAAAGGCAGACGGGGCTAGTCTGGCTCTAGTATGTCTCTCCTTAGTCAGGAGAGTAGTGTGGTTCATGGGAAGTCCTCAAGCCACTCAATTCAGTCCCAGATAGCAAAGCTTGGGCCTCAGACTTGAATCGGTCACTTCCCAGGCTGTGACTATGGCCACATTTCTCTGCCACTTGGAGCCTCTGTTTCCTCCTTCGTGAGGTGTGGGGCTGAGGCTGGGGCTTCCTGGGCAGGACCGAGATGACGTGGGGAGAGGATTCATCCCAGGAGAGGAGAGGATGTGTGGCAGCCGGGAAGGGCCACCGCTCACCATCTGCAGCTTGATCTGCGAGCACAGGGCTCTCCTCCTCACTGCCGCAAGGCTGCCGGCGAATGTCCTCCTCACCACGCGGCTCCTCTTCAGGGCCTGCTGGGAGGTGCCCTCCAGCCCTGCCACAGCCCAGCACACGGGAGGCAGCTTGGCCCGGGCCTGGAATAGGCTCCGCAGCTCCTCCCTGCAGGTGGGATGGAAGGCAAGGGCTTTAGAAAGCTCTTGGGGAAGCCTCGCCCTGGATGGGGGCAAGTGGGATGAACCCACCTTGCTTCCTGTCTCTCTGCTCCCCACAGCTCCTGGTTAAGTCACATGTCCCAGCTGCTCCCCTCATTCACACTCCCTCTGCCAGCCAATGCTTTGCTTCATGACAAATGCCAGCTTCCTCTCTGAAGCCTCTCTGCTCCCGGCCAATGCTCTGACCCTCCGCGTCTTTAGTTCCTATCTGCTTTGGACAGTCCAGTCATTTACACACCCACAGTGACTCTACTAAGCCTGCACTTTTTGAGAGCACAAAAATCATCTTTGTTACCCCTAGAACAGGCCCAGATCATTGTAGGTATACTCTATGTGCTTTGTGCAGAATGAATGACTCCCAGGCTAAACTGCCAGTTTCTGGAGCTGCAAGATAATGTCAACTAAACACCCGGCCCAACTAACCCAAGCGGAGAGCACCTTCTCTTAGCATCGCTGTGTGGACCAGGCCTGAGGTTAGTGGCAAGCGTATCCTTATGTATCCGCTCTGAGAAAAGCCATGCTGGGCTGCCCTCTTCTTTGGGCCCACTATGAACCACGCTCCTTAATAAGGCACTTGCTACTTTACATCACCAAAGACTTCTTAGATCAGACACCTGAGCTGGGCAGCGTCATTCCCATCTCTCAAATAGGAAACTGAGGCCCAGGCCACGCAGCTTGAATTTAAACATTTGTGTGACTTCAAAGCTGTCTGACAGCCATTGAAGTTTGCAGCCTCCCCAGCCCTTATTCTAATTTGGAGGAAATAAAAGTAACCAGAGGAAGGAAAGTGACAGCTCACAGTCACTCAGGTGACAAGGGCAGGATGGGGACCTGACCCAGGTCCCCTGGCTCATCAGTAATCTTTCTCTAGTCTGATCCCCTGCCTTGATCTCTGTTCAGGAGGTGTATGCCCACGAGCCCTCCTGGATTTGGGGTTTCCAATCAACTCTGACCACAGTGTCCTAAGAATTATCCAAGGAGCACTTAGACTCAAGCTGTATCCCGGCCCTGACGTTTTTTTGCCGTGTGATCAAAGGCAAGCCACTTCACCATCTGGGGCCACAATTTTCTCCTGTGTAAAATGCAGCTAAGGATCCGGTGTTGTCTGAAGGACTGAGAAGATCCTTCTGCAGTATTTCTTTGCAATGCGAGGCACTGAACGGGCGGTCATTCAGTGCTCCCTCCTCACCCTCCTGCCCACCTGAGACACCAGCACCTCCATGGGGGTCTCAGTTTCTATTCTTGTCTCTAAGCTCTGCCCCTGCAGAGTCCCAGCATGGGAGCTTGGGAACACCTCCCACCACACACACACACACACACACACACACACACACACACGTGAAACAAGCCTTTCCCCACAACCTTAGGAACTGAAAGCAGCAATTGCCGCGGGCCCTGCGCCAGCAACTTGCTCGACGAGCCACCAGGGAACACGGGGAGCATTTTTTAATGCTACAAAACGTGTCATTTCGGTTTTACGACCTCCTAGTTCTAGGATGTCCATAAAAGTTGTTCCAGTCGCATCATCTCTCAGACACTTAATGCAAGGCAAAAAGCCAAAATAAGAAGTCACAGCTTTTTAGCTTCTGTTCCACCTCCCCAGAAGGCCAGCTTTTGTCCTCGGATGGATTCACTCAGGCCCTGGGGAGACATTGTGCTGCTCGAATTCAGGTTACAGCTCTTTGTTCCATGACTGACAGAGGGAAGGGACTCGGAGACCAGCCCACCCTCCTGGTTTGTTGTGACTGTGCGGCCCCGGTGGGGAGGGAACCAGGGTGCCTCATATGCCCTGGGGGCATCCCTCCCAGCCCCAAGCCCTGGCTTACCTTTTCGACTGCTGCAGGATCTGGGGGGCCTCGAGGGCTGAAAGATTGGGCTTGGCTCTGTGGAGCCAGCCGGTGAGGTCATAGCGCACGGGGTCCCATCCCAGCTGGTGGGAAATCTCCCACTGCAAGGGCTGCTCACAGGTGCGCAGGGCAGAGGTCCCTGAAAATGGTCACAGCAACAAGAGTGTTGGGGCTGGTGGAGATACTCTGCGATCAGTTGACATGCTCCAAACACACTTTTCCCATTTTAATATGTTTCCAAATAGCTAAAGCTGGTGGTGGAAGTCACCACATTTCTCCTGCTGTAGGGAATCTGTACACTTTGTTTCTCAAGTAGATTCCCTTCCTCCTTGCTTTGGTAAAGCCAGAATCCTGTTTTCCCCCCAAACATCATTAATACAGACAATTTCTTGAGTTTTACTATATCTACATCTATAACTACATCTCTCCCTGTACCACCTGGGCTGTGATTTACTTAATGTTTTCTTTAAACTGATTCACATTTTCACAAGTACAGTATGTTCGCTTAAAAACAAGCATTATGTGGCAGGTTTGATGAGCAAGCTATGTTTATTTTCTAATAGGCCTGGAAATAAATACATAATGATTAAATATTTTTTAAATGTTTAGCTGGTGTGCCACCTAGAATCATCTTGAATACCATGATGCAAATAAATGCATAGCATCCTCTGGGGAGACTCTGCATCTAACCCTCCACTGCCTTTAACATTTTGCTGATGTTCCTGAGTCACAAAGTGTTTGTCTCCATATCCCTGGGGCTCCCTGCCCTGCTTGGCACATAAACAGAGTCTTGAAGTGCTTGTGGAATAAATGAATGAATGAAGGGTCAGTTATCACGTCACTCTGACTGTTGTGTTGCTCTGACGTTCAGTTCAGACGTTTGAGATGGTTATCCCTACACTGACTGGCCCCAGGCTGATTAGTCTCTGGAGTGGTAATATCGTTTGGATTCTTCTAGCTGTTGTCCCTGATCTTGCTTTGCTTTCTTGTCCTGCTATTGTCAACAAACTCACATGCGTTAGAGTCTTGGCATCTTTTCCCAAATCCCAACCTGCTACCTCTAATCGGCAGTAAACTAGAAAACAAAGGACCTGCATTTCTTAGAACTCCAAGCAAAATAAAGACAGTCTGAGAGTCTGCAGGTGAGGAAAGGGCCTGCCTCCTGCCACCCGTTTGGCTTCTCAGAGTCTTTTGTGCTCACTCACTGATTGTGAGTGCCTCTGTGCCTCTGTGTCCTGGATAATTGAAACTTCCAGCCAAGAACATTTCTAGTTAAGTGAAGTTTTGCTGCCTCAAGAGCAAGAGTCTCTCATGAGTTTTTCAAAGGTGGTCAGTCCCTGCCCTCAAAGGGAATCGCCTTCAAATGGGAGAGAAAAGCATCCCTCATGGAGCCAGATGACAAAGTGCATACCAGGCTCTGCCACAAATGTCCCTGATGTTCCTACGATGCTGCAGGTGTCTGTGGCCCTCCGCCACTGAACTGGAAGCAACTTGAAGACATGGGTTGTGTTGGTGCATCATTACAGGCAGCAAAGAGCACAGATCCGGGCTGTGCATGGGGACCCCAGCAGAGCTGGGGGAGGGGGAAGAGAGGATGGTGATATTTATTAAGCCCCAGCTCCTAGCACTCTCTGCTGGACATGCTACCCCAAGTGATATCACTCTGACCTCACTCTGGTCAGTGACCTGAGCATCTCTGAGCTGGTTTCTAGATGAGGCAGTTTGCATCATCTGCTGGTCTCATAACCTGCCTTTGTCTAGGCTGATGGGCCACATGCACGTGTAGATGCCACGTTTCCCAAGAATCAATCCCAGGAATCCATTTAGAAAACGGTTCTGGGTTCCAGGCCTGCTGTTAGTCTCATTCACTCCTTTCTCCCAGGGCAGGATTTCACACCACACTTGGTTCACCAAAGCATCCTGAATGATGCCTCTCACGTTCAGAAGCCCTGTGGAAACTCCTGAAGTCAAAGCTTTACCAAGATTTCTCTTTCCTGGCTTCAGCCTTTATCACCTACACCAGGAGTCTGAACCCCCACACAGGGTCCCATTCAGTTCCTCCAATGTTGAGGAATGCCCGTCTCCTGAAAGTCCACTGGCGCTGGACCCCGTGAGGGCTCACCCCAGCCCCACTGGCCCTTGTTGGGACACTCAGCAAATGTACCTTAGGTAAAGTTAAGAGGTCACAGGAGGGAGAGCTGGTTGAGCCAGAAGGCCCAAGTGTTCTGGTTGATTGAATGTTCTCATTAACTCAGAGTTAATCAGAATGCCCTAGAGGAAAAAAACTTCTTTTCTTTTTCAACCAAAATGCCTGAATTAATGTGTCTGTCTCTGCTGGTTCAGGGCACAGGATGTAATAGAGTCTTTCTCTTGGGAACTGAGATCCTATAGCATCCTGGGAAGGGTGTCTGAGATTGGCACCATCAGGCCTCAGGGAGAAGGGGAGGAGGGCACAAATCTAGCCAGATCCCCCTGCCCAGCCTTGTCCTCCAAGACCCCTTCTACTTCTGACCGTCATACACTTTGTCTCTTTCATCTAAACAGCTGGACCCAGAAAACATTCCATTTGAAAATTGCATTTCATTCAAATCTGGGGCACGGAGTTTCCACATATTCATCAGTTGCATAACTAGTCTTCACAGCATGCTTGATTGCCCCAGTGGCATTGGGAGCTTCCCCTATAGAGGTCAACAGCCCAGCCCTGTCCTCACACAGCTGGCATGGAGATGGCCAGTGTTCAAGTGTGGGTGTGCCCTGGTGACCACTGCAGTGGAGAAGAGGAAAGCAGGGCAGGAGGTGGGAGTGTAGGGGGTGGGGGTGGGGTGGGCGAGAGAGCCCCAGACCCTCTTTGTGCAGGAATGTAGAGGAAGAATGGCCCAGGGGAAGGAACTGCCCATGCCAGAGCTCTGGGGGGAAATGTGCTTGGGGTGTTCAAAGAGCAGCAACAGAGATGAGTGTGATGGGAACCAGAGGTTGAGAGGAAAGATGTGAGTGTTCCCTTGCCATGCTCAGGGCCCTGGGGACACAGCGAACAGAGGTGCCCCTGCCCTAAAGGAGCTCATACTACGGGGACATGGGGAGAAGGGTAAGAGGAAAGAAAGACTAGAAATATCCACAGGACTCAGAGCCCGGTGAGGGCCCCAAAGGGAGTGAATGAGGAGTTGTGATGGGGCAGGGCTCCCCAGCTTCAGTCAGGGCACAGAGACGGTCTCTGGAGAAGGAGATTATAAATGTCTTTGTATGCATCAGATAAGCCGTCCTCACAATAGCCTCAGAGACAGGTCTTACCATTACTGCTATTTTGCAGACAGGGAGGTGACTTCCTAGAAGCCACACACATTGCAATTCAGCAGCCAGCAGGGAGCCAGCATCTGCTTCTGTGGTCCAAAGCCTGGGCCGTCCACAGCTCTATCCGCTGGCCACTTTTGGATTTGTGTAAGGGACCTCATCCACTCCCCAAAGCCTCCTCTCCTGAGTTCATCAAATGTGGAGACAGGCGCCACTTTAGCCTAAACAGGGATTGTGAGCCTGCCTGGCTTTGGGAATGAGACTGTCTTTGTTTAGTACGAGCTCTGTGCTTGGTACCTGGAGGGCCCTGGGAAGCCAGTGGCCTTGGTAAGGGCTTGGTCGCCTCACTGTAAGTGGGGTGCAGTGAAGCTCACAAGGTCTGGCTGAGACTAAGGTCTCTAGAAATGGTATTTTCTGACTCTTTTGCCTCCTCCTCATCCTCCTTCCTCGGCTGGCAAAGGGGCGATGCACCTTACACCCTGGCACCTAGGTGGAGGGGAGTCAATCATTGCTGGGGTCAAGTCAAAGGCTGGGACCTTCCCAGAGTTGGGATAGTCCAGGGCTACATTATGACTCTCCTGAGCCCTAAGCACTTTTGCTGTCACGAGGCCCTTCCTCCAAACCATACACACACAGAGTCATGCACTGTTTAATGA